TCCCTTCTACAGAAACCTTTTTCTTATTTGCCCTTCTCTAAGCTTTTTCTCCATTCTAATATACCTTTTTGTTTTTAATAGGAGGAGCGGGACTGTACAGAAAATACAGTTTAGGCAGCAGTGTAACTGTTTTCTGTTTCACACTATTCTCTCCAAAATAATTCCTAATTTCCCCTGATCGAACACTTATCCTGTGCTTTGCTTACAGGAAGGTCATTAAGGAGCACAGGCCAAGCAAAATACACCCAAGCATGTGTTCTGGCTTGACATTCAGTGTTCATAACTGGAGACAACAACTGTGGACTACATTGCAATGTTTATGTGTACAGAAATGGTCAGTAATCCTTTTGCCAAGGGCTGCTAGGAATAAATCCCAGCCAGCTCAAACATCTCACCGTTCCTTCCCAAAAATCTAAGCAACCCATCCTCCTCAAACATAAACAGAGCCAACTTGAACTCCCATCCAGAAATCTGGGGAACTCAGTTACCAGATCTGAAAAACACCAGATTTCACCACATCCAGTTCATAGGCACCAAGACCAAATATTTTAAACCTCCAGAAACATACCTGAGAGCCTCTCAGAGCAACTTAGACCAATAGCAGGAACAAGTATCCAAATAAACTTGAGGTAAGTTTATAAAACAGTAAATAAATCAACAATCTTAGGTAAGAAGCTTCTCCCATGTGTAGACAAGCAATAGCTTTGCTCCTGATCCTCATGGTTATGAATGACTACTTAACAGTACATTCAAGCATTAGCCCCTGCATATCCCCTCTGCATGTCACTCAGCTTGTTTTTAAGAAAATCACCATAACATTCTGTCCCAAGCAAATACACTGCATCAGGCTTCTACGATTGAAATTTGTTTTCTCCACTGGAGATATACAGGGTGGAAATTAGCCTAGAAGCCTGATAATGTTTTCATTTCACAACTGGATTCACACTGCTTAGAGATAAGAACTTCCTGGTTGAAAACTAGCACTCACTAAAATGACACATCCACTAGAAAATGCTGTTGATAGCATTTGTCCTGCCACACAGTTGCCAGGGCATCAATAAAAATGCATGCACAGCAGCCTACTGCAAGGACTTCCCAAAGCAGGATGCTGTATCAGCATAAGATACATAGATAACTGCAGTTATGCATATTGTCACAGAACTTGGTCACACTGAGGGAAACTAACAGCCTCTTAAAAAAAAACAAGAGGAGCTTGAAGGCAATGTTCCCAGTACTCCATCACATCATTTCCATACTGCACAGGTTACTACCCTGGTCCTTCTGTTGCACTTCTATGATCTGTTCTTCCACATGGCAGTTTTTGCTTTGTCAGCTCAACTTCTGACACCCAAATACTGACAATTTTGGATGGAGATGAATGGCAATGCAAACCTGGAATAACTGATAATGACTGTATAACTTTCAGATGCAGAAAAATGTTCCTGTAACTGTCAGTTAAACTCACCATATCTCAAACACATCTGAGCTCCATGAGCTCTCTGCACATGGAAAAATTGATAATCACATTCCACTTGTAACCTCCCACTACAGTCAGTCAGCAGAAAATGGTTTGAAGTGTGGAAAGCCTGGAATGAAAGCTGTCACAAGGTGGACAAAGTCTTCAAGGCCCATCTTGTTGCATGTCCTGCTAACACCGAACAATGCTTGACAAAAATACAACCATGTGAACTCATTCACAGAGTGACATTTACGGCAATGAAACCTATCACATTTTTAATTCTTTTTTTCTTTTTTTGTCTACTGTATCACCTCAGATTATGAAAACCGAAACTGCTGTTCTTCCCTAGTTATACAAGTACAATGGACCTCTGGAGAGGGAACCCCATCATAATTTGCACCATGAACTCTATGACAAGGTGAATGCAGGGCCATTTTTTTCCTGATCAATTATTCCATTGGCAAGACTGAATTGTCAGATGTGCTCCTCAGGGATCCCTAGCTTTAAATTTAGGTGGCATGCTTGGAAACCACCACAGAAAGATTGAATCGCCTCTCAAATCAATGTAGACCAATAGCAGGAACACACCAAAGCAAGCCAACAGTGTGGATATTACAGAACCAAGTATTTCTATAGCTATTACAATATGCTGTATTTTCTCTGGTACTTGCAATAGCATTAAAGTGCAATTATTACTGGCAGGTGGGAGTTAAGAGTATACGGATACTACCTGCTGATTTGGAGAAGCCTGTAACAAAAGCAACTTCAGAGTACAATGCGATGCCATGGGACTGAAAGTTGTTTTTAAAAAGGTGAGCTTGCATATTATGCTGCAGTCATAGTAGTGCTTTTTGCTTTTGTGAACAGACTCACCTTGTAAATTCATTTTAGTTTTTAATTAGAGAAGTGACAGCTACCAAGTAATATGGGGAAGGGTGGATAGTCCTTATTTGTTTTCAAAGTTTAAACACATAAGTGATTTTCACCAAGAAAAGCTTCACGTGTGACAGTAAAGGGAAAAAAAGCCTAGGTGGTTCTAACAGGTAAAGGCAACATACAGCTTTTAAGACAAGCTACACATCAATGTATAATACTTCATATTTCCACAGCAACAAAGTATAAAGTATGGTTTGTTCTCTGGTTATTGGAGAGTAAGAGACTGTAGTTCCAGCCTGGATAAATTATCTACAAGGAACAAAACAGTGATTGATAGAATTTAAGTCTGAAAGTTTTATTTCATGTTGCTTTCTAGTCTGAATTTGTTGTCTGAAAATTGTAACGCTGATGTGGCGCATATGTGCTTTAGTCTGTCCTCACTTTGATACTGATGTGCTTTAGTCTACCCTTACAGATCCATTTTCACATGTATCTGCTTGTGAACACAGTAAAAGTTTTTGCTTTCCATCACTTTTTTTCCTGCACATCAAGGTTGATCCTTCCACGGGTACGTGGATGGTGTGGCTCAAAGTGCAAAGCTTCATACAAACAACCATTCCCAACTGGATACATAAACTTGGCACACAGGAAACTCTAATAAGCAAGGTCTCAAGTTCTCTTACGAAGATCAGCAGATTGAAGTAGACCTTCTCTGTTTTACTGTTGTCCAAAGCTTCGCATATCACGAGTACTTTAGGGAGAATACCCAAGAACAACGTTCCATAGTTGAAACCAATGGGATGGGATTTGTCTGGGTCCTCAGCAGATGCTGTGCCAATTTAAACATTGTTAATTTATTATGAGCAGCAGTGATCCAAGGAGATATATTATTCATAAGAAAATCAAAGGCCCAAGGAAGAGGACCACATATGATTACTTGTTCCAAGTCTTTTTGCAGAGATGATTACACCATGAGAGAACTGTGCCAGCCAAAATGCTCTACAAACTGGTAGAGAGCCAGACTAAAATGCAACCAGATTTATACTTGAAAACAGACACTGCAAGTTCAAGTGATTATTTTATATTTAGAGCATGATACAGACTTACCAAAAGACCATTCATAATGTTTCATACATGCTCATTTGACAGATCATTTGAATGAAAGGATCCTTTGCCATCTTTGTACATGCTTCAGGCACTACTCAAAACACAACATACATAAGTCTTTTTGAATCTGGCCACTACACTAACATTACAAGACTACAACCATTGTATCAGCTATCTACCCTCCGTCAGACCCTGAGCTTATAGAAAAGTCAATGCTCAGTAACCAGCAGTGAATTTACAATGCTTAGCTCTAGTATTACTTCCTAAGTAATCCCTAAGTCATGGCAAAGAATGAAGGCCAGCTGGATGATCACTGAAACCAGCAGCCATGGACAGGAGAGAAAGAGAGGAAAGGAGGAAGAGGGAGAAGAAACAGGGAGGTTATGCTTTCACAAGTGGAATGAATGTGTACATGCATGTGAGTACAGCCTCTAAACATACAACTTGTACAGACAGAATAGTTCAAGCCTTGCTGTATGACTGTGTTGGTTCAACTTCACCCATAAATTGACACAAGCAAGTTAAGCGGCTGTAGGCCCACATAATTTGGTTCAACTTGATACCACCACATCAATTTAACTATAGTGATATAAACAGCAGGTTTAAAAATCACTCCCCATTGCAACTTCGGCCAAGCAGAAATTACTACCTGGGATCATGTTCCATCACCAGCATTTCAAAAAGTCAGTTACTGACAAATTAAAATGATCTCCGGAGCAAAGACCAAAGCTCTGACTCTTGCTCTCCAGACACATACCCTGTTTGAGGGTCACTCTTATATGAGATGCTATGTAACTGACTGACTGAGGGCCACTCTAATGAGATGCTACGTAACCAGCCTCATGCAGCCTAGATGGTGTTACACAGAGATGGATGAATGCTGTCTTTGTCAGATTATTTGTATTAAAGAAGCAGAAGCTTCTCCCCATAATAGAGCAATTCCTGCTTTGAGTCTGACAAAACCTAGCTCCTAAAGAGGTTTCAAGGGTGTGAAGCCCAAACAGAATCAGATATTTATACTCTATCCTCTCAACTGGAGGACAAATGCTTATGTCCTCACCTTTCACGTCTGCCAATTAGGTAGTTCTCCAGCTCATACTGATTATCATTCTAAGGCACTGTCTGTTTATTTTAATCAAGTAGCAAGTGTAGCTACTTAATTCAGGGATGACAGTTTTGCTTCCAGGAGTAAGCATTGTAATGCTGAGTACTGTAATATCTCTGTGCTTCCATTTGTGAATCTAGCTATAGATACCAGGCCATGAACAAATTAAGAGTGTCAAACAATGCCAAGACAAACACCTAGAATAATTAATCCCCAAGTAAACATACAAATCTAATTCAGTGTTGAACAAGAATACAAATCTACCAAGTACAAACCTAACCTGTGCTGCAGCCAAATGCCACTTCCAAGCCTGCCAAACAAGGCAGGACATTTTTTCCATGAAAACCAAACTAAGCACAAAGAAGGTATTGTAATACCATTCAGCTCTCCGATACTTAACAACCCAGGTTTAAAAAGCTACAGACTGGACATTCCTAAACACAAACATTAATCTTGGGTTTCTAAACATGTATTGTTTATTTATAGTTAAACATTAACATCTGAACAGAAATCTGCAAGCATGCAGGGACAATCTTTCAGTGATGTTTCTGTTTAAACTGAAGTCCACAGTAGCCACATGTTCCAGTCTTTGTATCTTTGTCCTGTAAAAACATAAAAATACAAGAGCTGGTAGTTCCACTTCATAGAACTGTCAGAAATTACACATTTTGTCTTACTTATCTGTGCCACCTTAAAATAGATCAATATAGCTGAAGTACATAATTTAATCTTATTTGAAACAGTGGAAGCAAGGACAATGGTATGAGCTTTATGTTTGATTTCTGTTTCCTATGCCCCCTCCCTTCTGCCAGCCTTCTAACTACCAGGTCTAATCTCAGCAATTTTAAAGTGCCATCTTTTCATCAATAAAGCATATTCCTACCAAACTGGACATCTTAAGTAAGTTCAATTGTATCTGTTCCAATGTTCTGAAAAGTTCATTTCATAATTATTTGAATTCAGAATAGGAGTCGGCATTTCCAAGCTGTATCTAAACAGGAATTTTCGCCAGTAATGTAAGCTACAGAGTTAGCTGCAGGAAGGGGGAAATTTCAGTAGGATTCTGGGAGGAATCCTGAAAGAAAACATTTTGGAGAAAAGTAACAGTTACCACTGTATAAAATTTTGTTCTTCGCTCCAAAAGACACATTGTGTTTTTTTAAATTTAGAAGTGTGTCTGACTGCAAGCGCTTGTTGCAGTCCTTCCTAACACAACAAAACACAAGACAGGGATCTTCTGTTATTTAGCAACATAATCACTTGCGTCATGAAATGGTTCCCCTTCCTTAATACAGGATTAGAAGTGAAAAATCCAGGCTACCATCTACCACCAAAAGCCTGGATTTCAAATTTTAGGGCTAGGGGAAACAAGGTGGTCTAATACCATTCTCCCTGTTTGCTGAAATTAGCTTTGAAGAACTAAACCACAGACATCTTGCAATTTGATTGTTAACACACACATACACAAAAAAAAATTAAAAAAAAAAAATCACAAAATTCACAAAAAACCTAAGGCATTTTTCAAGAAAAGCATGGCACAAGTCAAACAAATCAATATAAATGCAGTGTGTTGAAGAAGTTAACTTAAGACTGAAGAATACAAGCTTCCTAATTGTTATGAATTAGGATCTCTGGGTATTTGAATAATGCAATATGAATCATTACAAAGTTCTTACTTTGTTCAAAATAGAATGCTTGTGATTATAGTTAGGAGTCACAACAACACTGACACTAAAACACCCCAGCTCTCCTCCACTGCTGTTTTGGATATTAAGCAAACGTTAAATTTTAGGTGAGTTTTTCAGACATTTGCAGTCAGGGTCTGCCAAAGAACAGTATCTAAGCAACAAGTCGTCGCTGATTCCATTGAGGTCACAGGACAGTAGCCTGAGTATTTTTACTCTCTAGAATAAGAATACACTGGAAAGTATCACTAATGTCAACAGGAGGATAAGACAACATTTATTCTTCATTGATTCTCTGACCATGATTGAAACATTTAATCTTTGGAACTACAAAGATTCTGAAAGACTGAAAGAGGGGTTGGTTGGTTGGTTTATTTAGGGTTCCCCTCCCCCCCCTTCTTTTCCTTGAACTTGCAAGGTTCAAAAGAAACTGCATGTTCCTACCAATGCTGCAATTGTATCCTAAATCTACACCACAGTGGCATTTAAATAATTAGAGTAAGTGTCTGAAAATACAAGCAGCATGTTATTTTTTGCTCTCAGGACACTGCTTGTTCATACTGTTTCAGTTAAACTCTTAAAAAAATAAAATTACTGTCTTATCAAACAAATCAAAATTCCAAAAAGAAATTTCTGCCACTTCAAATGGAAGCCCTCTAACTCTTCAGACTAGAGATCTTAATTTTACATTAGGCACTATATAAAGTGAGCATCACAGGCTCCTTTTATGTTGCTAAACTAGCATGCCCAAAAGTAGACAAACTTACAAACAAGAATTTACAGGCAAAACATCCTATATGCAGAACAAAGATATTACCAAGTTTATGTACACTTTAGGATGTCCCAAAGCTCCACCACCACCATCACATGATATCACCCTGCTTTCAACTTCACTCACAGGCTGCTCTGCTATCAGATCAATTGCAAAATTCTTGTTCACCTGTAAGAGAAAAAGAGAAACTTTGAGATACCTTTCCTACTCAGACAGAAAGCAATTATCATTTCGTGCCTCCACAAGCAGTTCCACTACAGCCATCTTGAAAAGTTCCTTCCTGAGTTTCCTCCCACCTCCTTCACCAACTTTTAGGCTGTGCTATAAGCCAGATCAGTGACTACATGTGACTACTGCATGGTAACTCTGCAAAAGTAATCCCCTTCCCCAGTACACAGGCCACATCAGTGTTCAGGCTTACAATGTGACCTAATTAGATTCAGGAGAGAGGTTAGCAAGACCAAGCAGCCAAGAACACAAGACATTTAACTGACACTGCCTCTGTATTGTTTTAGTGACTACCTGATAAAATCGCAATAGACTCACTGCTGATAAAAATAATAGTGGGACAAGTAAGGTCAGGAGTGAGATAAAACAACTGCTGGTAATTTAGAGCCTCTCAGCATGCATCTTATTCTATCACTGCACAGGAAACCATGAACAGGGTGCACAACAAGAGTCAGAAAGGCAAACTGTTCAGCATCAGAAAAGATGTGCCAATCTGTAAACCCATCTTATACACACTTCCTAAACACACACATCAGTGACAAGTATGGCTTTTTCCTAGGTCACACCTGCAAATGTACCTACCTCTGGCCAGACCTGTGACACAGCAACTCGTGTCTCAGCAGGACCTGCAGCGCCAAGCCACAGCGCTTTCCTCCCTCATCTGCACCAGCCTCTTCCAACAGGTTCTGAGCCAGCAGTGAGCAGACAACCCCTCCTACCCCTCATGTAAACGTAAGTCACAAAGAACTACAATGATACTTTTATATAGTTCTATACACAACTTAGGATCTTTCACCAACCCTCCAACTGAATTCACCCCAAATGTGCATTTCTGGTATAGCGGTTGAAAAGTCAGTTTTGCCAACAAGATCTTCTTTACCAAAGGAAGATGCTAGCTAAATACAGTTAACAAAAAATATTTTTTGGTATTGAAGCAAATTGGGAACATCAAGAATCTCACAGGCTGAGGCCTGCATCTGCAAATCACATGTAATCTTTGCCAAACTGCAATGATTTTTACTGCTGCTTTTAATAATGCTCAAAACTTTGCATCCTTTATTTCATGCTGAAGGAAGATGTAGATACCACCATGGCACACCACTGCTTCAAGATCAGAAGCGCAACTCCACAATATTTCTGAGACACAGTACAACATTCATGCTACAGATGTGGCTGTGAAAGCCAAGTACTAGCAGCTGAAACACACTAGGGAGTAAGAGCAAAGCTCCTAGTGAGAGATCCTGTTAGTAAGCACAGATGAAGATCATTTTAGTATTTTTTTATTATTTTCATTTTAGTAAATTTTTTTTCCAGTTTCACAATTAAACCCTATCATTAAACCTTGCTCAGCAGACTTAAAGCTTGTCTTTTACTGGAGAAGGAGGATTCAGGCTGAACTGAAAACCCTGAAAGATCCTTACCACAGAGTCTGAAATCAGCTGCTGGCAAAGGCATATCAGAGGGACCAATGTTCTATGGAGAATTAGGCTTAAGAAGTGTTTCCTACAAGGTTACAGAAGTAGCTTAAAAGCAGCCATTGCATTTGGAAAAGACCTCCTTTGCTGTTATCCTCCCAGAAGTAAACTACTACAGCATTTTAAGTGACATTTTCATGTAACTCTTTCCCATGTAGAATCCTCATTTCTGCCACACAGCACAAGTGTAGCAATATAAAGAAGTATACTCAAAACAAAAAATCTCAAAAATCAGCATAATTACTTCAAGTTAATTTAGGAAGGGAATAATTACACAAAACTGCATTAAAAATCTATCACACCTTATATTTAATGCCTCTACTATATATACACCAAGGCACTCATCAGATGCTCAGGCATTGAAGAACACAGTTTAGCTGAAACAATCTCTGTTTCTCTCTCTAAGACCAACAGAAGCCTAATGGAGCAGCACTGGTCGATCATTAGAGAGATCTCTGTGCTAAAGGACTTATAATTTCACATATCCACTCTATTGATAAGCAGCAGCAACAGGCACACCACGTAACTGCACAGTACATTTGACTGATGCTGGTGTTACTTGACCGCGCCTTTGAGGCTTCATTATTTCAGAATACTCCAAATTTTAGTTTTATCTGTTACATCACTGTTCAGCAAATGTGCTCCAGGGTCTGGAAATGAAGTGGCTTTATTAAAAACTCGATTTAGGTAAAGCTCAGGATTTTAACTATGCTGAAGCAGATTGAACTTCTAAACATGCATTTAAACACACGTGTAGAAGCACAATTCAACAGGGCATTTAGTTATGTTATTTTCTGAACATAAATTGCACTAAAAAACAAGTTTAAATTTCTCTTAAAACACATGCTTAAGATACAAAGCCCAATTTTAAGATGCTCAAATACCTAAATGTAAGCACTTAGCAGGTGCAGGTCAAGTCTTGAATTTCAAAAAAAGTCGAAAGGTACACACAAACTACTATAAACTGTCTTAAAATCAGAATGTTCAGTGTAATGGAAAACCCACCAGAAACCAAAATCTACACCAGATTGGTTTTAGTAGGTTTCTGGGGTTGGTTTTTTTTTTCCCCGGTTGTGGTTTTGGGATTTGGTTGGTTTGCCATTTTGTTGCTAGGATTTTTTTGGTGTTTAGGTTTGTTTGTTTAATGACATGCAAGTTGAGGACATGAATCATTAATATCAGATTTAAAAAATCCCTCAAACTACACTCTCTACTATGACTAAAAGTAGAATGAGTTACCTCCTTTTGCCGTCCAACGAATCTAACTCTTCTATAATCCTTTTCATCATATACCTAAGAAATAAAATAAACTTGATTTTAAAAGCAACAATAAATAAAGAACACAAAGGCTTACAGACTGTCAAGACTAAATAGTTGAAATTGTTTCCTCAGTTCTGAGCATTAACATCATCTTACATGTACGCTCTGCATATAAAATTTCTCTCACAGGGTAAAGTACACTTTAGATTAGAAAACAAAAAAGGGGGAGGTGGGGCTAAAGCCAGTAAATAGAAGCCTTAGCTCTGACAACAGAAACAAAGAAAAAATTACTTATAATGCTGTTCCTTGATCCCACACTGCCATCTGTGAGGTGGACTAAAGTAGGAAATTCAAGTTTCATGTTTACTTATGTTCGGGTTCAGTAAGCACAGCGAGAACCCTCCTGCACTAGCTCCACCAGCCATGCTTGTCTCCCATATCTACAAGACACTGCACAAGCCTCCCCAGCTCTCACGCGCAGTTTTGACACCGAAGAACAGATGAAAAGGAATTACAAGGTACTGACACCAGGATACTGACAGCTGGGTACCTCCTACCTGACAACTTTCCACCCGTGTCAATCGCTGGACTCATACCACAGCACTTGGTAACAGTCAGTGACCTTGCTTCCAGTTCATAGAATCATAGAATGGTATGGGTTGGAAGGGACTTTAAAGATCATCCGGTTCCAAACCCCTGCCATACGCAGGGACTCCTCACGCTAGACATACCGCCTAAATTAACTCTTTTTTTTTCTCTGAGACCGCGCGTACCTCTGCTTATATATCATCCAAGAGCATCGATTTCCGCAGCGCATACTAGATGAAGCACACCGCCATGCCATTCACAGCACCGGCAGTGCTTTTCCACAGGCACCAGCACGGTGGGAGACGCGGCCCTGCCGCGCCCGCCCTCCCCCGCAGACAGAGGAGCAACACCGACCGCCGTGCCGCCCTCCTCTCTCCGCGGCCCTGCACGCTCACCTGCCCGGTGTGCGTCACCAGCTCGCCGGTACCGGAGGCCCGCACACCGTAAGGCCGAGCGGCAAACGCCACCGGCAGCGACCGACGCAGCAACAGCAAGCGGCGGAAGGTCGCTCCGGGCGCCGCCATCTTGGGCCGGACACGTGATCCCCCTCGCCGGCCTCCGCGCCTTTCCGTTGGGCTGTGGCTTGAGCGCATGCGCGGGGTATTGCGAGGCGGTGAGCGGGGATCTGCGGCCCAAGGTGGGAAGTGGTGTCGGTGCCGGTTAGTGCTGGGTGCTTTCCGTTAGGGGCTAGGGACGATAAGAGAAGGAGGGATAGGGAGGGTTGTTGCTGTAGTGTAGTGTGGGGTGGTGTGGTGTGTGTGTTCTCACAGTGCTCTGTCCCGCAGGGTGCAGAGCATGCTGGATCTCCTGGCCAGGGCGGTCGCGCGGCCGCTCGGCTCGCTGGGCCGTTCGCCCTTCAGTTCCTTGGCTCCTTGGTGGCGGGCGGTGCTACCGCCCGCCCCGGTGAGCCGGGCCCTGCCGCCGTTGTACGGGACCGCCGCCCCCCGCCCCCTGCTGGCCCTTCCCCCGCCAGCCGGGCTGCTGCCGCCGCTCGTCGCGGGGCTGAAGAGCAAAGTGTCGCTGAAGAGGCGCTGCAAGGACTGCTTCATGGTCCGGCGGCGGGGCCGGCTCTACGTGCTCTGCAAAACCAACCCCCGGCACAAGCAGCGGCAGCTGTAACCCTGCGGCCAGAACGCCGCCGCGGGACGCCGGAGGGCAAAGAGTAAGCTCAATGTTAGTCTCGAGTCCGGCTTTCCATATCCCTGCCGCTAACACTTCGCCCTCTGCCCAGCGACATCTGGAACCTGGCTGCTGGAGACACAGATCGCCAAATGATGAAGGTGGCAGCCTTTCTTCTTAACGCTAAAGTAGAGCGGGTTGAGTTCTTCAGGGCCCTTGCGGTAACTTCTGGTCATGGACGCTGAGAACTGAAACGGAAAGCCACAACTTTTAATATCTCTTGTTATCTTAGCCGTGAAAATCTCTGTTAATTTAGTATGGGTAAAGCTGAATCATCAGACTCTCGAGATGCATATGTATTTAATTAAAGCATAATGAAAATAAAGTCTGTTGATGTACATTATTACAATATACTATTAATCTTTCTAAAAACCGACACGAAACTCCAGATGTTGAAAGCTGTTACAGCAGAACCAATAGTTTCAAACTCAGGTGGGTTCCTAAGTGGTAAATACATATATGTTGAAAGACTGCATTCTAGCTTTTGGCTTTGTTCATAGGTGAGGTAAAAATGTCTTGTTAAGTTACAACACACATAATCCCATGTAGCTTCAGTAATGTCAACGTAAACAACCCTTGCTGCTTTTCACTATGTGTTTTGAGGGGAGATGATGTCATTTTAGTTAGCATAAAGTTATAATTTTTTTTTTAAGTTCTAGTGTTTAAAATTCTCAATGTTATATTGATCATTCAGAGTATATTAGGGAGTGTTCTTAGCCTCATCTTCCTTCAGAGAAGTCCTCTCTGGTGTTTATGGTATATTCTACAGTTTCCCAAACCTTAATCCAAATAAAAAGGCAATACCCAGGAATCATTGGGTTTTGGGTGGTGTAAACCATTTTGTGTAGATGTCTACAAGATGTCTACAGGAAAGAAGATAAAAATAGTTATTTCAGATCCCAGCAAGTTTCTGCAAAGTTATAGACTCACTTATATAAACAGTTGAGGCTTTAGCATTGCCCTGTTTTTGTCTTTTATACAACTTCTACTGTGTCCCTAGAAACAGCTCCTTCCAGATGTTTTGAATGCAGTAGTGTGGGGTACTCATGCTAGGTTGGTGTCTGTTAAATACAGCCTACACTCAGCAACTTGGAGTACAGAAAAGGGAGGCACAAATTGCTATGTTTTCATCTCTCCCTATTTAGCATAAGACAAGTTTTTATACAGGGCTGACTCAGCAGCCTATTTCAACAGCCTGCAATTAGGAAAATTTGTTTCAGAATTAAAGCCATTGAATCTAGTGTTGTTAGTCAGAAACTGAGATGTGGTGTTATTTGAATTGAGATGATTAATGTGGCTGTGAATTACTCGTGTTGTCATCTGAATGGTCAGTTTGTGATACCTGGGGTGGAGTGTGCAAAAGAATGGAGCATTCACAGCCATCACTGGAACTGCATATTTGGTTGTGCTAATAGATTTTGGAAAGAGGATTATAGGATTATAAACCAGAAGGCTCTGAATTATAATTGTACTCTGCCATTGACGTGCTGTATAATCTTGGAAAAGTAATTTTGCCTTTGTCTTGGTTTCTCCATCTGTTAGGCAGGAATACTGAATCTCACACTTCTAAGTACCATTTTAGTTGGTATCCACAAACTCTTACACATGTGCTCCCCAAAAAAACCCATCAAATTCTGAAGCTTTCTGTAATTTGGCTGATGTGAGGAAGGTGACTAGAGCTGGAGGTAATGCGTATTTATTTTGGGTTTGTTTATGACAACTACAAAACAAGAATCTGAAATAATGTCAGCCAGTAGCCTAGTGGTTGGTAGCTAAGGGTTCGCATCCTTCATTACAGACTTTCTGAATGTTGTGCTACTTAAACAGCTGTTCTCAAAGGGTACACAGCTGCTAGTTAAGTTACCCAGGCCAAATATTTAGTCCTGGAATACTAAAAATACCAATCTATATCAGTTCCATATGCTTTTTATTTCTCCCCCTTCCACAGATGTTGTATGGGCAGAAGGTGAAGGGGAGGGGAATGATAAGGAGTGCACAGCTAGAATGTAAAATGGCTTAAGGCATAAATAGGACCCAATAACACAGGAAGAAGGATCCGTACACTGAAAACTGAAATAAGACTCAGGTTCCAATTACATTTGCAGCTTCTGGTTTCATGGTGGTTTTGTGTCTAGGTTATCCCTTCCAGAAATTCTTCATTCTTTAAATCCCCACAGTGGAGTAGGAGCATGACAGCTGATGTCTCCTGTGACCATTTCCATCCTACAGTTATTAAAATTATTTGCAGTTGTGAGTGACTGAACTTGGTTAACTCCTCAGAACTGTTCTAGGGAATGAGACTGTCAGATTCCTGATAGGCAACAGGTAGAAATGTATTTAGGTCAACTGCAGGATAAATATACAGAGCTCATGTATATTAATGACTGTCAGGCTTTGTCTGTGGTTGCTATCTCTTCTGTAGTGCCACGGTCTTTCTGTGGTTTCAGGGAGCTTCATACACGTGAATCTAGAGAGATTTCATTAAGCTAGCTTACATGTACCAAAAGTGTCACCATATTCTCCAGTTCCGAATCAGCAAAGGTGGATGTACCTTGTTATACACTGCTGAAAACTGTCTAATGACTTCTGTGGTGCAAATTAAAGACACAGCCCCGTTCTGTTTAATAAAGCTGATTATAACTTTAATGATTATAACATTTAAACACTAGCATTCATTCCACTGCAGCTCATCAGATTAATAACTTGGAGTTTGAAACCTGTACCAGTGGTTTAAACTGGGGAAGGCTGAATGTGTTATTCCTAAAGGCTGAGAAGGGGCTTTTTTTTTTTTCTGATGAGTGGAAAGTTTAACTCACCACAAGTGTGCGGGGTCATGCCCTCACCTGTTTGGTCTCCTGTGCTCTCCAGGACTTGAATTTGCCTTCCTGTAGGAATAGCTGAACTGCCCACGAAGCTGTTATTGAACTGTCACCGTTTACAGCCCAGTTTTTCTAGGTAAGTGGTGGTGTTTTACTTCTATACCTCTGGGAGATAAACCACAGCAGTTTCGTTATTGCTCTGTATCCCACTCGTAGTGGAAGCAGCAATCTTTATAAGAGCTTCATCACAGTGAACACATTGAACCTGATCTAAAAATGATGAAACTGGGTAAGAGGAGAATATTGGCACCCAAGATGAAGCTGTCACTTGCTGGATTTATCCACCTGCCTCCAGAAATGAAAAATTCACCATTTCACCTACGAACTTGTGCATTAGACTTTGAAATCTGTTGTCCGTAAATGTGAATACAGTGTTGAGAGAAGTATTTTTCGAGAAGCCACCTGGCTTTATGTGCTATGTCGTGCAAAAATGAAAAAAAAAATAAAGTTTGTGGAATTGTTTGATCTAAAAATAACACTGATTCCATTTAGCGGCTGTAAGTAAGCAAAGGAACAGGCAGGGAATAACATCAACCTCTCTGTTGTATGTGGCTGAAGACTGGTAGCAAACAGTGTCTAAATGAGGAAAAGGCTGGGAACAAGCAGCCCCAGAGTCTACACAGGTACTTTAAAAGATGCTGCCTATGAGTAGTATGGTTACAATCAGCTCTAGGCCAGTTCACTGGGAGAATTGGTGGTCCCTGGAAAAGGTCATAAAGGCAGTATATATATATAGACTCCAACTCCCTGCTATTCTGGCAACTACTTAATACAATTATTTAAATAAATTTATTAAGTTCTGCATTAAAAATTAAGTGTCTTTTGCTAGCACTGTTCTTTGAAAGGGTCTAGGACTTCCCTCGTCTTCCTACACTTCTAACTGCAGCTCTACATTTATTCAGGACTTGTTTATACTTACGCCAACACTATCTTTTATGTTAAATAACACTTCTGTTCCTGTGGAATTTACCTGCTTGATATTTATTTCTAGGCAGCTATTGCATCCTTTCTTAATCTTTGTTTTCCTAAGCTAAACAAGTAATTTTAGTCTTTTCTCATGAAGCAGTCTTTCTGTTCCTCTCATCATCCTAACAGCCCTTTTGTGTAAATTTTGAATTCGTGAGATAAGGTTTGTAAGGAGAGGTAATATATTTTTTTGGATCACTGATATAGTTAGAAAAAAATAGGAAAGCTTTTGAGAATACAAGTCGTTCTCATGTATGCCCAAAGCTTACCAGTTTTTTTCCAACTGTCTCAATTGTCTAATAAAAGACACTGCCTACAAGCATTTCCTTTCATACATCTCACTTTTAGTCACGTCCTTACTAATCTTAAAATCCATTAGGTGGTCCTCGTTTTCTGTGTTTTAGTTAACTACATAAATTAACTGTCACATTTTTCTGAAGTCCTGATAGATTAGATCTACTGTATTTTTCTCTTTTTCTAAAAGACAGATACTTTTGCTTGACATGATGTACACAAGCTACATCATGT